TGGGCCTGAACTCTGAGGAACTTCTCTCTCATGCCAACTGGATGGGCGAGTGGTTTGTGACACAGGGTGTGCTCCGTTATAGGAAGGAAACCTCACAGGTAGAAAATAGCTGTCCCCTTTCCATTAACAAATACCTTATGAAAAAAAAAATCAGCAAGCCTAATGACCAATGTTAATGCTGGGGAATAATTAGGGAGAAACGATAAGAAGTTTCCTCTAATCTCAAAAACCAAATGCTAATAAGCAAAACAAGTCAGACAAGCTACTGTAGTTAACTGTACCAAAGCAGTCTCTTGGTTTTAATAATATACCCTAGTTATGTAAGATGCCACCATGGAGAGAAGCCGGGTGAAGGGTACAGAGGACCTCTCTGTACTATTTTTGCAACATCTTGTGAATCTATACTTAGTTCAAAATACCAGTATTTAAAAAAAAAAAAAGGCCAGACACACAAAAAAGTACACAATGTATATTCCATTTATATTAAGTTCTCCAACAGGCAAAGCTTTTCTGTGGCAAACAAGATCAGAAAAATGATTCCCTCTGTGGGGGGCGGTAGGAGAATGAAAATTAACTAGGAAGAGGTGGGAGGAAATTTCTGAGGTATTAGAAATCTGTATCTTCATTGGGGTGTGGGTTATGAGGTTGTATATTTTTATCAAAACGTATAAAAACACGTAAGATCTGAGCATCTCAGATATTGTAAATTATACACCTCAAATGAATGAGAAAACAAACTACCTCATTTGCCCTGCCACTGCAGTCAAGCAAAACCTTCAAAAGGGACACATAACTTTTTTTGTTTAATCATTGAATCTCCAATAAAATTATCTTCAAGAATTTAAGAAATATAATGACAGGGACACTGCCCCCATGTTATGGATGTATAATTTATCTCTGGTAACCACAGGTTACAGTGTTATGAGGTAGGCTTCCCAAGGCATGAATGAGCCAGAGAGTGAGCTAACATACTTCTTGCTTAAGTATGCATACTCATAATAATTAGAGACCTAAATACAGATCTAATAAACTCCACATTCTAAACTGTTACTGTAACTAAAGCAAGATTTAAAGATTTACCAACCACCTTTGCACAATCCTCAGTTACTGATACAATTGAAATCACTGCTTAATTGGATCCCCAAACTTCATCCAAAGTCTGCTATTAAATTCCCCAGGTTCTCAAAGAAGAGAATAACTGACTCTGAGAACTTGGGGTTCAATGTGAACCCGTGACCCATGTAATACCCCTGGCTTTCAATTTTAGTTTCTCTTTAGCACTCTTTTCCATATAAATTTTAAAAGCCAGAAAACAGAAAGATCCAAGATTTGAAATTCAACTCTACTTCTATCATCTTAATTTCTTCGAATTCATTTTTTTCTCCTCATCAAAAGAAATTGTTCATTGGAGCTTTCTGTTTTAGAAGTTCTGTTCTAACTTTATTTGCTAAGGGTCACTATGGATCACATCCTGTTCTTAATCAAGTGCCCTTTAAGGTAGGAGCTGTCTGCCCTTAGAGGCCCAAGAGGGCCAGCAGGGGACAGGCCTGCCAGGCTGTCTCCACATCCTCTGCTCTCTTTGCTTCTCCACATGGCAGCACCCAACGCTGCCCCAGCACAGCGTACACCCCAAACGGACCCCCAGGACTCTGGAAGAAGATGGCACTGCAATACAGACACAGGAGTGAATCCTGAGCAGTCAAAGGCAGGTGTTTATTCTCTGGGTTACGCATTGTTAAACAGTCAACTTTTAGCAAAACGTCTTTTGACATAAAAATAGAGCTAAACCATGTCGGACTTCCAGGGTGGAGGTGGGGGGGAAGGCTAGCTACATGACCGTACCCTACACACTCTCCACAAAGCAGGGGCTTCTCTGTGTGCCCTCCATGGCATTGGGCAGGGCTGATCAATCTGTGCAGTTACAATTCCTACTTTCACTCACACACTGTCCTTTCTTCATTTTCTGGTCACTTCTTTTTTGCTCTCCGTATGCCACAAATGAGATTTTAAGGTCTCAGTTCTCTATCTTCTTTGTATACAGGTCTTTGAATACCAACTTTTTGTTACAATACTGATGAGGAAAATAAAATCTCCACCAAAAGGGAATGGCTGCTTTTGTCTACGTGACTGTGGTTTCACCTGATGTCTAGTGTCCAAGAGCTGTTGCCTGCTCATTGACATCCTATATGCTCTCCTTGAGCATTTTATTTTCTTTCTTGATTTCATCTATCATTTTCACAAGGAAGACCCTGAACCTGCCGTCTCACTTTTACCTTCTCTACTCAGCATTTGGTCTCGCTCCACTTGCCTGCTAGACAGCGCCACTGGCTCTTCTGATGGCCTCTTAATATGGTAGGTTAAGACCAGGTACATCATTTTCCTGCCTCCTTTTTACCAAATGAGTGCCCATGTCTTCTCCCTAATTTCCCATCATAATTTCATCATTTTAACCATTTAGGCTGAAAATGTCCAAGTCACATCTCTTTGTTTAATTCACTTTTCTTATGCTCAAACTCTAAAGTCGAAGTGACCGGAGGAAGTAGAGCTGAGGAGGGCTGAGAAGCGTCCATTTAGGAAAAGCCAGAATGGGACTCTGGAGCTGAACTGAGCAGGAGGGGGAGCCATCAGGAGATGAGGGCCCAAGGGGAAGCTGCTGTGAGGGGTCCCACAGAGCAGAGCAGGCTGCAGGGCAGTCCTAACTTCAAAGACAGTGTGTTCAAAACAGGCAAAGAATACCTTTCTCTAAAGCTTGAACTCAACATCAAATGGTTCAAGCTGAAAAGAAAAAAGGTTGGAAATACAAAAGAATAGAAAAAGTAGGAATGTTTGTTCAAGTTCATCTGAGTTTTAAGAGTTCGGCTATATACTTACGAATGACCTAACTGTGAGCATCTTGAGATTTGTACATGATGTCCTTGAGACACAAGAGGACAAACAAGACACCGGACAAGACCAGGGAATTTGCCCTTGGCTGTGATTACGTTGTATGCCAGAGACTTCTCCATTGTCCAGAAAGGGGCAGGATGGAGACAGGGACCCGATATTGAAAGCAATCCAGGCACTTTCAGGCACTTTCCTCAGCTCTTCTATTATGCCATCCTGATTTCTGTGTCAGAGATGAATCCTAGAACCCACTAGCCCATTCTAGATCAACACTGACAAATTCCTATTTCCACCTGTGTCACCTTTTTGGGCTCTCCAATTTTTTCCTGGCATTCTCTCTTTTTTCAAGTTTCAGGGACCTCTCTCAGTTCTAGTATCCTGCAATTTAGGGAACATGAACAGGTAAATTTTCTATAGTCTTATAATTTTTTTTTCAGAAAAACTCATGTCTCCAATTTTGCCAGATTGGGCTTATTTTTTTATTTTTAGTTTTTTCTTCTGATGTTCCCCCCTCACTTTTTTTTTTGCCTCTTTTAAAAAATTTTATATATGTGTATGTGTGTGTGTATATATATATATATATATATATATA